CTGAGCCACCCAGGCGCCCATCTTTTCTTTATTTTATTAAGTAGACTCCATGCCCAATGTGGGGCTCGAACTCACGACCCTGAAATCAAGAGTTGCAGGCTCTGCAGACTGATTCAACCAGGCGCCCCCCGATTTTTCCCTTCTTTATTGTTATCTGTTCTTTATCAACTTGACCATTTTTTAAAAATAGGGCTGAGGACACCTTAACCTAGCTTTACTCGTTTTCTAACACTGATTCTTCCAAGTGCTAATTGCATGGCTTTGAACGAGTTATTTACTTCTCTCTTCCTCAGTGTCCTCATCAGTAAACATGTGGATAAGAATTCCCACCTATCTCACCGAAGGAACACGCGTAAAATGCTTAAAATCGTGTATGGTATGTAGTAAGTGCCATGTATGTGTTAGCTATTATCTGCAGCACCCAGCATAGTTTCTGGCACACAGTAGGTGCTAAATAAATGTGTGTGCATGTTAATGAATGAGCGCACACTAAGGATTCTGGGAAGGTGAGCTGGGACGTGGGGAGAGTCGGAAGCCAAGGGGCTGAGCCCCTCTTCCTGCAACTGAAGGCCACGCCCCGCTTGCCCCGGGAGAAATGGCGGCTGGGCTCCGAGGGCTTCCCAGCCGCTAGAGGGAAGGTACCTGGGCGGGGACATGCCCTGTGCACCTGTGCCCGCCGGCCTGGTGAGAAGAGTGGCAGCGGGGGGTGGGGGAGACACCCACCAGGAGACCTGCGTGAGACCTGCGTGAGACCGCCCCAGCACTTCCCACGTGTATCTGGTATTTACTCCTCTCAGCAAGGACGTGAGGTGGGAATGATTACGCGTCCCTTTTACTCCCGCTTAAAGTTGTACAAATTATAGGAGACTTGAGTGAGGTCCCACAGCTAGTAAGAGGAAGGTTTGCTGGAATTTGAACCCGGATTTGACTGCAGGCTCAATCAAGCTCCTTCTTAACCGCTGGGCTGTATTTCTGCATTTCAAAGCAGACACACACATACCCTCTTTGTAGCCCTTGCAGAGAATGAGAAAGCCAACAGCCCCCAGTGCCTACCTGTTAGAAGCCGGTCTCTTCACAGAGATGGGAGCGACAGGGACTGGCTGCCTTTTGCCCTGCTCCAGGAAGAGGTTCCAGTGAAGGAGGTGCCTGGGCCCCAGGCAGGTCCAAGCACCTTAGAGCCCTGGGACTTGGGCACCTGATCAGTGGGGTCTCTCCTTTTGCACCTTTGAGGAGAGGCTTCTGCCCTGAGCTCACAGAAGCAGCCAAGGCGCTGAGAAAACTTTTCCACCTGTCAGTCCACCAAGCCAGGCTAAGTGACTGGTGTCCAGCCTCTGACCCAGCACTGCATCTGCACTGCTCACTGTCCTGGGCCTGGGGAAGATGTGGCGCTTGGGGCCGGGGTGGGGACCCCAGAGGGGATGGAGGGAAGGAGGCACTGGGGAAAGATTACCTGGAGGAATGTGGAGGGTGGGGTGCCTCGCTTCTTCTAGATGTTCTTGGCCCAGAGAAGGAGCAGACGGACCGGTGGGTATGAAGACGTTGGGCCGCTGTAAGTGAGGATGACTGCGGATGAGCTCACAGACCCATGGTCAGGCTCCCGTGGTCTCTGCGTTTCCACATGGGCCTCATCCAAGCAGCACCCCCTCCCCTTGCCCCACAGAGTCCTCACCTCTTTCCTCCGGAGCCTGGGTGTGCATTGCCTGTGGGAAGAGGCTCTCAAGGTGGGAACCAGACTTCCAGGACCTCCAGCGGCTTCAAGAAACTGGACCCCTTCTGTCCAGCCCCCTGTCTGTCCGTCTGTCTGTCCTTTCCTTTTCTGGCCCCACCCCATCGGAAGCACAATTTCTCATTGTCTCTGTCTTTCCCCCTATTGTTGAATAACAGGGGCCCTTTCTTTATCCTGTGGGCAAAGGCAACGAAATGTCAACAGCTGGGGATGTGGGATGCAGGACCGGCTGGCACACACCACCGGAAAAAGGGCCTAGGTGGGGGCAGGCTCTGAACAGGATGGACATCCCCAGGGAAAACGGGGGGGGACCTGGTTGGTGAGAAGGTTGAAATGGGGCCCCTTCCATCCTCAAGCTTCAAGCCTCGGGAGAGATTTGGTGTGAGGCCAGGGATGGCCGGGCTCCGCGGAGGGCAGAGTGTGTGCTTGGAATTGCAGTGGGAGAGACAGCAGGCAGCTTGGCAACAAGGAGGGGTCTCTGTGCCTGGGAGGAAAATGGGAATTCCTGAGAAGGATTTTGGAAAGCTCTCCAAAAGAGAGGTCAGCTCATTTGTCCCACCACCTCTTAGTGTAAATTCTCAAGAAAAGGGAGGTCCTTAACCTCCCTGGGTGGGAACACACATCTCCACAGTCTCCCCTGGAGTCTAAGCTCTTGCTGGAGTCCACGCTCACTGTTCAAAACTTTCTGTCGAGGTACAGTGTACATGTACGTGCAAGGGGCACAGATCTTACGCAGACAGCTCAGTAACGTTTACATGGTACACGCCGTGGAACTAACCTCCAGATCAACATACGGAACATTTCTAAAGATTTTTTTATTGGGGCACCTTGGTGGCTCAGTCGGTGAAGCGTCTGCCTTCGGCTCAGGTCATGATCCCAGGGTCCTGGGATCCACCCGCATTGGGCTCCCTGCGCAGCGGGAGTCTGCTTCTCCCTCTGGCCCTCCCCCCTGCTTGTGCTTTCTCTCTCTCTCTCTCTCTCTGTCAGATAAATAAATAAACTCTTTTTTAAAAGAATTTTTATTGGGGCGCCTGGGTGGCTCAGTTGGTTAAGCGACTGCCTTCGGCTCAGGTCATGATCCTGGAGTCCCGGGATCAAGTCCCGCATCGGGCTCCCTGCTCGGCAGGGAGTCTGCTTCTCCCTCTCCCACTCCCCGTTTGTGTTCCCTCTCTCGCTGTGTCTTTCTCTGTCAAATAAATAAATAAAATCTTTAAAAAAAATTTTTTTTTATTTATTTGAGAGAGAGAGCAGGAGTGGGGGAAGGCTCAGAGGGAGAGAATATTCAAGCAGACCCCTACTGAGCACAGAGCCCCACACGGGGCTCGATCCCACAACCCATGAGATCAGGACCTGAACTGAAACCAACAGTCAGATGCTTAACTGGCTGAGCCACCCAGGTACTCCTTATACAGAACATTTCAACACCCAGGATAAGCCTGTTTCTTTTTTGTTTGCTGTCAGTGCAGAAGGAGGACTCCCTCCAGGAATAACCATTTAGAAACGGTTCCAGCTTCCAATCGCCTCGCAGCCTTCATTTCTCTCCGCCCGGCAGCCCTACATCAGTAGCTTCGCATTACTAAGATCATGTGCTTTTGGAACCGGATGGGACCTCAGGACACCTAGCTTCTTCGGGCACCTGACGAAGAGGAGGCGCCGGCTGGGAGAGGGACAAACCAGCAAGGAAGGCAGCTGTGGAATCAAGCCTGGGACTTGCTGCGGTTCCCGCTCATCCCTCTTCGTTGTCTCTCCCGGATTCTCCAAGTCAGGGAGCTGCAGGGCTTTTCGCCAGGGCCACATCTCACAATAGGGAGCCCACCCCACCTGCATGCGCTCCTCTGGGGTTTGATGGAGTGTCTTCCCTCTCCTCCATCACTGTTCCTGGGCCGTCCCTCCTCCTCCCAGAGCAGAGAAGACAAACAGCCCCTGTCTCAGGGCCAGGACACCCTGATCCTGTGCATCTCATTGGCCTCCACCCAACTCAGACAAACAGCCTCCCGCAGAGAGGGGGACACAGAGGCTCTGCCACCACCCCGGGCTCACTCCCACCCTCCTTTCTCCCCAGATCACTTCTGAATGGGGGTTTGGAAGCCACAGGTATGTGAACTGATAAAAGGCTGAGTGTGGCAGGGAGGAAGGCCTGGAGCTCTTTGATGGAGGCAGAAAGGACCCTGAGAGGACGGAGTGGGGAAGGACCAGACCAGGACCAGGAATAAATGTGTGTTGGACAGCCAGACGGCACTCACCTTGCTCAAGGGCGCTTTGGTTCCCCCCCACCCCCGCCACCAGACTCAGTTCAGCAGGAGGGCAGGTGCTGGGCTTGCCCTCCTGAGTGGAGGTCTTTGCCACTGCCTCTACCAACTGAGATGGGGGGTGGGGGGGGTACGGGGATGATCCGGTCCAAGCATGGAGTCCTGACTTCTCTTCCTCTAGCACCCAGACTCGGCCTCCAGGCAGCGTCAGCTGACCCACCTTCTTGATCCCTGCCGATGGCAAGCTGGTCCCAGTTTACTATCGGGATTTTGCGTGAGGGATGGGGAGCGTTGGCAAGATGGCACTTTAGGGGGTTGCAGGGAGAGGCTGAGGGTGACTGGCAGGACCTCCTCTCCTTCTCATGAAGTTCACACACAGCTGACTCAGCCACCTCCCTGCCTCCCCGAGGCAGAGGTCCCTCACCTTCTCCTCCTCCCTGGAAGCCCCAGGCCATGCTTCTTTCTGGCCCAGGCTGAGGTGCCCTGTGGGGCTGGATCCCAGCGTCACTGCAGGAGGATGTGGGGGTGGAGCGGGGAAAGTCAGCCTTTAGGGAAGGCACGTTTTCCACTCAGGACCGCTCCCTCTCACTCCCTCTATTTCCGTCTCTGTGCGGAGCATCAGGACTCACCCCCTGCCTCAGATGCCCTGTGGAGCCTCGGCAGGAGACTGTACCTCATCTGGGGGGGCCCTGCCCTGCCTGGAGGTCCTGGACAGAGCTCCGTCTCCTGGCCTTCACTCCAGCCCCTTTACTTGGGGCTCCTGAGAAGTGGGCGTCACAGTGCCCACTTCAGGACTGTCCAGGACCTCAAAACTGGAACTGAACATGTCCAGAGGGAGGCATTGGCTGGCTATGTGGGCAGCTTCCTCCTGGCTCTGCAAAGTCTCAAAGGAATGGAATGGGGGGGGGGTCACCTTGTCCTCATCTCAAGCGGGCCAACGTGCAGGTTCATCAACCATCTCTATTCTGAGGGCATGGTTGGGGGCAGGGGTCCTTAGGGCATCTTAGGGCACCCTAAGATCATGACCTGAGCTGAAATCAAGAATCTTATGCTTAACTGACTGAGCCACCCAGGCGCCCCATGTTCTTTTTTAATCCAACGGAGATCATATCATACAAGCTGTTCCCTACTTTGCTCTTCTCACCTAATAATATGTGGTGAGCCTCTGTCCCGTGAGCACATGATGTACAGCTTGCTCATTCCCTCCTGCATGTGCATAGCATTCCCGAGTCTGGCTTCCAAGCACCTTAGGTAACCAGATGCCTGTTGTGGGATATTCAGGGTGCCAGAGGTTGGGACAACTAGTTAGACATCTTGGGGGGGGGCTACAAAAAACGGGTGGCACGGTTGGTTAAGCGCCCACCTTAGGCTCGGGTCACAATCCCGGGATCCTGGGATCAAGCCCCGCATCGGGCTCCCTGCTCTGCCGGGATTGTGCTTCTCCCTCTCCCACTCCCCCTGCTTGTGCTCCCTCTCTCGCTGTCTGTCAAATGAATAAATAAAAATCTTAAAAAAAAAAAAAAAAAAAAGGAAAGGAAAGGAAAGGAAAGGAAAAGAACCTTATAACGTGCGCGAAGTTTGGAGCCTTGACCGCGGCGGTGACGTGCAATGCGCCCGAGGCCCAGCAGGGGGCGCGGGGCGGGGCTGAGGCTGCTGCTCAGAGAGGCCCGCGCGGGGCTGCGGGAACCCCGGGCAGCCCTCCCGTGCTCCGCTGGGCTCTAGTTCGGAGGGCGCGGAGTCCCGACCTCTCGAAGCCTCTTTCTCGGGTTCCGGGGCGGCAGGTGCGTGGAGAAAGGCGAGTCCGGGGTCCTGGCGGTTCCTTCGAGCGCGCTCCTCCGCCTCCACTCGCGTCGGTGCAGAGACGGTCCCACGGCGATTCTACTGACGTGTCCGCAAGTACTGCACTTTAAAGATAGAAAAGAAGCAACCCAAATGGACGCGTCTGCTACCCTGAGGACTGTCCTCCTCCAGGGTGACTCCAGAGGTGGCCGGAGAGCTGCGGGGGGCAGCGGGCCCCCTGCCGCCCACCCTCCGCCCGCTCTCCCCGCCCCACGCCCGCGGCCAGCATCCCCACCCGCGGGCTCCAAGCCCCTTCAAGGGGGACACTGAGGCCGGAGAGAGGCGGACACAAGCGCTGGAGGGACAGAGACTGAGGCTCAGGCCTTGACCCGGAAGGGAGCGGAGGGGGGCAGCAAGCGCAGGTGGCGACGGAGCCTCAGAGGAACACGCGTGGGGTGGGCCGAACCCGCACACGGGCCGTAGCTGGGACCGCGTCCCCGCATCCGTCCCCGCACCGGTCCCCCACATCCGTCCGCGCACCCGTCCCCGCATCGGTCCCGCACATCCGTCCCCGCACCCGTTCCCCGCATCCATCCCCGCACCCGTCCCCCACAGTCGTCCCCGCACCCGTCCGCGCACCCGTCCCGCACATCCGTCCCCGCACCCGTTCCCC